GCAGAGAATTGAGTATCAATAAGCAACAGCTTGTCTGAATTACAAAGTGGCAGAAAATACATTATTCCAGACAAATACATATATTTCTAGACAAATAATAAATTGAGACATTTTATCTCGATATAAAGAAAATCTTTTCCCATTAGAACAGTCAAACATTGGAACAGGCTGCCTAGAGAAGTCACGCAGTCCCAGGTTTTTAAAGATTAAGATGGATAAAGTGCTGAGCAGCCTGGTGGCACTTGAGCTGACCCTGCGCTGAGCATCAGGTTGGACTTGAGACCTTCAGGTCTTCACGTTCCACTCTGAATCATTCAGTGTTTCTGTGACACGCATTCTACAAATACTTTTAAAGTAAGTGGGGAACTCACAGGCACACCAACTATTGCTCTAGAGGACAAAAGTTTCAGACAACAGGGAACAGAAATAAAAAAGAACATGTGGAGCAAAAATAAGTGGCTTACAGCAAAATAACCCTTTTTGCAATGACATAAACACCTCTTTAAAGGTAAAATGGCAATAACTATCAAGTAATATTCTCAGATAAAAGATTAAGAATTGGAGAAAAAATATTTGTATGCTAGTAAATTATTAGAAAAGCTAGTAAATAATATATTCTAGACCTTCAAACATATTGCACAGGTAGGCTAGTGCATAAAGACAGAGACCACAAACAGGGTAGGATACTCTTACATTATTTTAACCAGTCTGTAGCTCCTTGCACTACAGAATTCTGCACAATTAAAGACAGTTGGAACCTTGGAGATAAATATAAGGTCAGCAAAATGAACTATGAACAAACTGAAGGCTCTCATTTATTACTGAATTATAAAAGAGGTTTTAGGCTCTAGTATAAAAGAAATAAGATGATCTGAATAACAGATGCAGGTATTCATATATGGCCTTATGAATAATTCAGAAAATGTAACGTTACAGACTTTTTTAAGGAAAAAAGATAGCTTCAACAGCAGAAGTAATAGTGATACCAAAACAACCAGGGAGTAAGAGATGGCTGCAAACAGAGATGTGTCAAACAATGAAAGAGAAAAGGAAAACACCTAAAGGAAGTAAACAGGTAAACAGTTATTCTCTAGAACAGCAACACAAGAGTAATGACAGTGAGGGACAGACTCCTTTGAATAGCAGAAGCAGGTCTATCAGCACAGCTGTGCTATCAACACGAGCATCAATATTTTTTAGAACACTGAGAACAAAAGAAAGGAGGATAAGATGAAGATATAAGAGCAACTGAGCAAGCAATAAAGATGTCAAAAGGATAATGAAATGATTGATGGTACACACCCTGGCACCATAAAGAACAAGGAGTATAAAATGGGAGAAAACAGTAATGTTACATCATGGGATGTATTTATGGGAAGATAATTCCTGGACAAGTGAATCACATACTGCTATTTTCATGAAATTTTATAAACATATTGTATGGAGAGAAGAAACTTGAAAAAAGAATTAGTGAAACGGAGCATATTCTGGGGTTCAGGGAGGCAGGGAATGGGCTTCTTAAAATGTGACCTCTTTTCCCATCACAGTTTTCACAGTATCAAAAAAGAGAAAAGGCTATGTCCCATTTTTGCTGTGCAGGTGAGATGGCAAACTAGCACCACCAGAATCCAGGAACCCAGGCTGGACATGCAGTAAGGTATCTGAAGTACATTTTGATACTGAATTCACGAGGCATTTGTCACCGTAAGAGTTAGAGCTGCAAACTTAGAGGTGATTCTGAATTTTCTTTGCACTAGGACTATTAGATTTTCACTGCACATGAATGAACAGACTGAACAGGATGATTACCAAACTGATTCATGGCCTACAGATGCTAAATCCAATCCATAAAGGTACTGAGGCAAAGAAATGATAAAAATAGCTGATACATGAATACTACCAAGTCTTAAAAGATATAGAAAAAATTACAAATCACTTGGACAAGCAAGACAATGGCATTACATTAGACACCCCTTGTGCAGAACAACACCTGCCAAAAAGTTGAATTAAGCAGCCTCGATGCCAAGGCATACATGTTAATTGTCTTTCAGATGTTTTCTATCCACACCAATCGCATGAGAGTCAAAAAAGAAACTCTGACCCAATACTGACAAGTAAGATATTGACTATCCAGCATAGTTCTCTCAAATGGTCAGTTTTATTCAGCAAAAAATAAGTAATAAAATTTCTGCATTTTTCCTGAGGTTTTATTCGTTTTTTATAGTTTTATTGGAACAAAATCTTGACTAGAACGTGTAGCTTAAAGTAAGTAATTTTTGAAAAAAACTCACATGAATACCTATTTAACTTCAAGGAAATAGCATAACTTAGGACAATTACATCTACTTTTTCTCTCCAGTTCATCTTTCAGTCACTTTATGGAATAAAATAATTTAAAAGGGCTTGATTTGTTTCTGTAGGATTTTTAGAGGATTCACTCACCTTCTCCCACCAATAGTCAACCATCTTATTTGAAGACAAGATTCACTAATTGAAAGAATGAGATGTCCCAGTACTACCTTACCTTGAAAAGAGACTCTCCATTGGGCAAGAGAAATTTTAAAAGCACACTAGAGAAATTTACAAGGAGAAAAAGTGACTGAAATAACATGTTTAATTGTTTTGGTGATTTTCTCTGCATCATTCATTTAACAAATGCTTAACCAAGGCCACTTTCTTCTTTTTGACTTAAGCACATTACCTAAAGTACAGAAACATAAAAAATTTCATGCAGCAAAAATCAACAGACATCATAGTGCTATTCTGAGGCAGATTATTATTTTGAATTCAATAAAGTCTTACCTTTTTATGTTACACATCATAACAATGCATTCCATGCAACTATTTACAGCTCAACAATTTTACAAGTCTACCCTTGTCAGTCCACTGTAATGTACAAAACCTCCAGCCCAGGTGGCCTTATATTCAGTGCACAGACTGTACTTTACAGACTCAAATTAAAATACGGCATAGAAGACATCTAAACTTTTCTCCTCAAGAGCAAATTGTCCTTATCTTGAAAACAAATCTAAATTAGTTAAATGAGAGTAATAAGCATAGTACAGAATAAATACAGACAGCAAACTATCTGGTATTTTTCATTAATATCCCATGCAAGTATACATTATAGTGATAAAAACATATTTTTGTTTTTTCAAAGTTGATTAACTGTATTTAACACTGCTGTATTCACTTTCTGAGCATTCATATTTTATGAGCTAAACAAGTTGGTTGGTATATTGGGACTTCCATTTTTCAAATGCTGCATCACTTCTGGGTACAGGAGGGAACATCATGATTACAAATGAGTAAAACTTCAGCATACTGTACTCTCCATTAAAGCTAAATAGAGCAGTTGTGATACAACTGATCTGTAGTTTCTCCTGTGAACAGCAACACACTTAAACAGAGTAAGTTCATTGATCCGTAGATTTATGAAACTAACAGAAAAGGAAAGTTCACAGAGGTACGGAAAAAAAGAAAACAATCAGGAGGGTACAAAAGAGAAAAAGTAGGAAGCAGAATAATGAAAGTTCAAGAGGGGAAAGAAAGGTATTCCTAGCTTTGCACAATTGCAAAATATTACTTTATACACCCTCAGTTGTGTAACTACTGCTGAGAGATTTACCTGTTCTTTTAGATTTAGATGACTGGGAGCCAATCAAGAAAAAGGAAGGTGCATTTCATATGAGAATCTAGTCATATGCTTGGTCTTGATTTAAGTTTATGTAAATTATATTAGAAGTAACAGAAATACTATCATAATATCCACCAGTTTCCATGCGTTTCAGTGAGAAATCATGAGCAAGACAAAAGCAAGTCTTATTAAGTTCAACACTGCAATTCTCAAAATTTACAGTCAACTAACGCTCTGAAAACACACGAAGTCTTTGCAGGCATCAATTTTAAACATTCCTGGCTTGCACTGAGACACTCAAGCCTTTACAGCACTGAAGAGCTTTATCCTCCTATGGCACAGTGGCCTGGCAAGGCGGCTGTGAGTGCCGCTGGCCACAGCACACAGTGGGGGCCAGGCCTAGGCAGGGCACTGCCAAATGGAACTTCTGCAGAAGGTTTAACTTGTAATGTTCTTTTCACTACTTAAAAGCTCATCCTTTTGGTGACTAAGATCATTATTTCAAATCTTACAGTCCTAGCAATTAACAGACTACTAATAGAAGCATTAACACTCTTAATTGCAAACAAACCGCTTTTCTCTCACTTTTGTCTCCTATAAACTGCTTGGTCTAATTAATTTTGTCTAGCTCTTATCTGTTAGTTTGTAGTTCACTATCAAATAGCAAGGACACTAAATTGTTTCAGTTAATTCTAATGAGAACTTAAACACTGTCCAATTTTATGTTCCTCCATTACCAGGTTATTATTTTATATTTCCATTTTGATTTTCCTTTCAATTTGAATGTTAAATGCAAATTTACCAAGAGACGTAAAAGAATAACCATAGAGAAATACTGTATTACAGTAGAGTTTACTTTCTAATGCAGGCATGGAGTAGTACATAATTAACTTATCACAAAAATAAAAAAAAGATTATATCGATTCATATGAGAATTACTGGATGACTGATGAAACAAATGTAACTGTAGCGATTAAATTATACGAACATGGTCGACACAGTGTTTGAAAATTGTGAATTCATACTACATGAAAATACCTCACGGTGATTTATTTAACCATTCAAAGAAGAAAAGTCAGCAGAGGTTAACAAAAAGGTCATCTTTTTTGATGTCATCACATGCAACAATTTGCAATTCTGTGATTATGTCAACTGTTCTTAAGAATTGAGCATACAAGAACAATACCTCCACACTCGTACACAGTATTTGTTTCCCCCCTACTTCTTTTCTGTTGCTCACACTTGTTTCCCAGATAACTGCTGGGCTCTTGAGTCTGGCAACTGGACAAACAGCGTTTTTCAGCAGAGCAGGTGTGAAATGAGGATAAATCGATGCAGGAAGTGGGATCATGAGACAATTTTCAATTACCACAAAAATAACTTTATTAAAAATCATCAGCCAGAGTAGGAATATCTCTGCACTTCTCCATATGCCAATATCCTACAGCTCCTGCAAAAGAAAAGAAAAGGAAGTGCATCAAAAAAATAACATAGTGCTCTACACAGAGCATTGCCAATTTTTCCACACTGCTTACCCTTCTACTCCGCTTCCAGCAATTACTGGCAGGACACCGTCTCTACCCATTCTAGGCACAGAGGACACAAAAAGATTTAGTTCACTGTCAAAAACATTGATTTTTCTGTACAACTGTAATATACATTACAAGCATGCTGCTGTCATGGAACATTTATTAAGATACTTACCTTCTGCTTTCCAAATCCTCGAATCATTTACTGAACGGGACTCGACATCTACATAGCACCTTCAAGTAGGAGAAGGACAAAGCAACACTGATTCTCTCTGGCTGCATAAACATGGCACAGATTGGGCATTTGGAGCCTCTCCTCCTGTAGCAATATAACTTCAACACACAGTGAACAACCTTCTAGTAATAAAAAAAAAACCCACCCCAGCAGCCTAACAGTGGATGCCAAGTTCTCATGGACATGTCCCAGCTGTACTTACTGCTCTGAAGCCTCCTCCAAGATCCCCTCTCAGCTGGAAATACAGCTCACTGGCAAATCTTCTGGCAGCTGTCTCTACCACCACCTTTGACATGTGGGTCTCACCTTTGTCTGACTAGGCTTGTTTCAGTAGCATACAAGTTACTGTCTACATATTTTTGCATCTGGTTGAACTGCAACTGAGCCGAAACAAGGCCAGACCTCAACACTGCAAGTCATCTAATTGCATTAGCATATCCTTGTGGTGTCGGTTTTAACAATTCCTCAAGCTCAGTCAAACATTTACCTAAATACCATATTCAAAATGCAGGTTATGAACTGACTGGGTATAAGGTCCCATTTAAATACACAGTTGTCTGTTCAGTGTTGAAGCCAACCAATTACCTGCATTTCGTGATAAAAAGTGTTTACCTCTGAGATACACCAGCCCTGCTGGAGCCCGGGGCACAAGCCTAATCTCAAACCAGAATGCACCATAATATGCGTACAGAGATGTAATACAGCAAAGCCCCTCTGTATGCAGATGAGATGCTGTGTCCTCGGTTGAAATCCAGCCTTGAAGCACACATCCTTTCTCCCTGAGGTGCCAAGACAGCATGAACGTTCTTGAAGCTGGCATCATGCAGATGAGGCTTGTACCTGGCACTAGGAGGTACACAGAAACTTACCAGGAGGTTTATACATGGTATCTACTTTTGAGGTTTCACAAATTCTTTTCTAATCCACAGATAACACTTTGACCTTACCATTACCCAATAATCAGCACATAATGAAACTCAGTATGCATTCACCTTGGAAGAGACAGACTATGGATGACACATACTTACTTCTACAGACTGATACCTCAGTGCAACCAGTGCCTCTTTCCAACCTAGCCCCCAGCAAAACCGAGAAACCCAGACCAACTCTGGCTTTCTAAACTTGTCAGTACACTGTGTTATCAATTTTTAATTTTTTTTTTATTTATTTTTATTTCTGTAAGTTCCATCACAAATGATCAGGAAGTTCAGTTAGAGAGAGCAGCAGAAATCAAACACTGAGGAAAGTCACCAAAGTTACATATATTAACATTATTTTATCCACCCAGTTCATGAAGTTACTCTTTTGATGAAGCATTATAGGCAATTAACCACACATAAGTTAACCACATGGTAAACCTTAGTCTTGCCTTTTAAAAATAACACAAGTTAATTCAACCCAGTTCATTGCCAATACAGAAAATGAAGATAAACTGGAAAAATGACATACCAGGAAAAGTAAAGACAGTATCACTGGACCAAGATGGCAGCTAGGTCACAAAACATTCAGGTAAAATTCTCTCCCTCTCAGCTAAACCATGTGCTCCAAACTGAGCCAAGATGTGAGGCAGCCTGCAACTTATTCACCAAATTCACATTGACTTTCATTTAAGAGGCATGTTTTCCTTAACAGGTACAACCACTAGCAGAGCTTTCCGCAGCCCCTGAGGAAACTCTGCTTCCTCCATTACCCTTATAGCACACAGACATCAGCTGTTCCTATAAAATCCTCTCTTCTGGTGCTCATGTCTCTTTTCTCCAGAGATGATAAATGACTCGTCTTCCCAGCTAAGAGAATCCCGTGGAAGGTGCTCAGGATCTCAAGCCATTTCTTGCCTCAGGATACTATTGTTATTTTGCAGCATACTTAAAAAGGACAGGTATTTCATAAAGCAAACAGAAAGATAAAGTCCCAAGAGCAAAGCCTTTACTGAATTTGAAAAGATAAAATCAGAAGAAGGTAATGAAAAACTGGGGCAGGATGAAGAACAAAGAGATTCAAGAAGCGATGACAAGGACAGTTGTAAACGTTCCAAGTATCAATGCCTATCAAAATAGGCCTTCTTAGTTCTTCAGGAATTTACCGAAGGAGTATAGATGAAATATCTTAAATGTTTATGATTAATACAATAGAATTATTAGACAGATATGCTTTCATAGTTCTGGGGGACGACCGTGATCTCGTGATAGATTTTATGCAAACAAGAGCATAAAAATAGTCAGTTTGACATATTAACAGAATTAACAAATTAACATAATTAACACAATTAACAGACATATTAAAGATCTACCTGCTTTATATTTTTAAAAAGGAATTCAGGGGAAATTGAACTTTAGTTTTTAAACATATATCCTTTAGAAAATATACATTCTCTGCTCACGTAATTGAATGCTCATCCTCCTTTCCAGTGAGGACTGGACCATTACAGGTTTTCATAACAGATAAGAGCTGCTAAATGGTAACTAAGACAAGGACCACCCGTGCACACATTGGTTATTTATTTTCATTATCCGGCTGCTGCTACAACATCTTGAGTTTCACACGAGAGCTCACCAGCTTCACATTTTTTGAGGTTTGCAGGAACTAATGAACTTTACCTTTTTATTTCTTGCAAACAGGAAAAATACGAGGTTGTTGCAATCCTGCTTATCCTGGCCCAGCAAAACCAGCTTTTGCCATTTAAAAAAAAATCAAAATGCATCTGTCACAGTGCATGACACAAGTTCACAGAGTCCATTTGGTTAACTGGATCATGTGTTCCCAAAGTCTTAGGCACACAATATCACAATGAGGAAAGAGTGAGAATTAGCACAGTGAAAATACAGCATGCACCATCCTCTTCATAGTAAGCTGCTCAGAGTATAGAAAACTGAATACATTTTACATTGTTGTCCTTTCAAGGAGATACGTAAATTTTAGTAGGATCCCATTCTTCAGTTACTTTATTGCTCTGCTCAATTAAATGATTCAGCACCTACAAAGTACTATGTATCATTCATACTCCATTGATTTCAGTGAAGATTCTTCTGATTTTTCCAGAAAAGATAAGTAGTTCTAAGGAAAAATTTAAATTTTCTGTATAAGGCCTAAGTATAAAGAAGTTAAAAGTAGTGCCTAACTATAGCAACCACTATATCGTTTTCGTAGTTCACACATGGGGAGATTCAGGTTATTGCATCAAAATTGTTAACCATTGATAGTGGTTTAACTGCCAAGCAGCCCAAGGATGAAGATTACTTCATGTTATGACTGTATTTCCATCAAAACTGCAGCAACCTGCCTGTTTTACTTCATTGAAGTATTTTACTTTCAACTGAATCCATCATAAATTACTGCTACAGAATAAAAGATAAAGATTCTGGATCATCATATTAGGTGGTGGTGGGGAATTGCTGAAACAGTCATGTTTGTTCATGCCTTGTAGCAGGTTATTCCAATACTCATTCACCGTCATGTTTCACCCCTTAACATGCCTTAACTCTACTCGCTCACGGTGTAAGAAATTAGTAAAACAGACAGCTCCTTGTCCCAGGTACTGACTTGCAGCTCAGAACACTCATTTCCAAGGATGACTTTCAGGCAATGATTTTACTCTGCAGCTGGGACAGCATGCACAAGGTCAGCTTCCACAACTCCGCTTTCAGCTGCCACTTGTTGCGCCTGAGTGACCATGTTTGCCATTAGAGATATTTGGCTTCAAAAAATTTTCCATCAGAAAAGTAAACCACTGGGCTCCGAAGTGCAATTAACCATCTGGGTCAAAAAATGATAGTAAGCTGTAGATACTTGTATCCCCATGCTATCTAATGCTAATACATCACTTTTTGTTTTTTCATTGAATAAAAGCTGCTTCTTTAGAGATATACAATCTCTCTTGCTCAGATGAACATTACCAGAAGCCATCCTGTTTTCCATGGACACGAAATTATTAATACAATTAGCAGCTTTCCAATTTGTAGGAACATTGAAACAACTTAGTTTTGTGTTGGAAATATAAATAAAATCCAATGCATCACCACTGTTGAGATCCCAGGGACCATGCAGGCACTTGCACCAACACAGACCAGGGTGCACTGCCCTCCTGCATGAGCTGTGCAATGTTCTCCCACTCACCACTGTGCTCCTTTACGAGGAACCAGGGAGCACAGGCAAGTAGACAGTGAAGTCAGCACCCTCTTGTAAGGAAGAAATAGTTTCTGTGTTACTGAAAGATATTCCCCAGAGGGCTGAGGAACCTAAATGCAGAAAGCCTGCAAAAAAATTTACTTTAACCAAGATTCTAAACCACAGACAGGATAAAAGACCTTATCCAAAGCCTCTCCAGCAGATTGCATCTGAGATGGAAACTGAACTGAGTAAGCATCAGACACAAGACTTTTTTTTTTTTTTTTTTCCTTTGAGGTACTACAAAGCATAAATCATTTCCTTATCACCAGAAATTTCATAAAACTTGACCACTCTGATCACAATACTTAAATCCACAGTTTTAAGGACATAGTGTCCCTTGAACACACACTTGCCTTTCATTTAATTCAAGAGGCGCTGCACAGGAATACATCAGAACTGGACATTATTTGCTACATTTGCAACAATTTAAAACAGGTATGCCACATTAATATGCCTGTCTTCATCTCTGCTATTCATACAAAGAAGCAGACAGTGCAAACCAATATCAGCAGCAATATTAAAGTGTCAGGTGTTTAAATTTTGTAATGCACAATATTGAATATTGCATGGAACATAAACCTGAGAATACCCAGCTGGGGAAGGGGGTGTGAGACTGTGAGAGAAGTTAACACAAAAGTCAGTGGTACATTAACTGAACACATAACTCTTGTTCACAAAATACTGCATGTGAGAACTAAGGATCTAGTAGGAAGCAGATTTCAACAGGTAATGGAAAAGCGATGCATACAGCCTCTACTGAGCTCTGGAATGGGCTGCCACGGGAGCTTGTGAGGGAAGACAGGATCAACTTGTTCATAAAATCACACACCAATTCATGAAGAACAGATCCCTAACAGGACAGTAAAAGTACTGGGTAGGTATGTACACTTCAATGATCCTTTGGAGTCTAGCAAAAAAAAGGGGAATGACTACACTTCTCTGCTTTCCTTGGCAAATGAACACTAAACTAGATGTGTAGTTAGTGTACATTTCATCTGTCCCCAGGGGCACCCCTGCAGACAGATGTTCGCACCCACGTGAGACTTCAGCTTTGTCTACCACGGAAGGAGTTCAACCTTCCCTGGCAATCCAGGTTTACATGGTTTTCAAGCAAAGTTTCTGGAAGATGAAGATGGAAATGGAATTCCTAAGGAAACCAAGCCCACAAATACGATGAAAACATTAGAAAGGCTGTTCCCTGATTCATGTGCAAACAAAGCTAAACTCTGCAGCATCTAGACATTGTTATTTTTTGTAAATGAAAAACACTCTTTGCACTAATTGCCATTATTTTCTACAGTACAGAGGTACCCTCATCGAAGAGGCTTTGAATAAGTGCCCCTAATTTGATGAGAATATTTTCATCAGCATTATTATATACAGAGGGGGGATTTATACTTTGCATACGTGTACAGTAATGATTCCATACATGCTTACACTTCCTAAAGTAAATCTTCACAACGACTAGAGGAGGATTTAAGAAGCACAAGAATTTCACTTTCGAATACAACTCTGCAGTTTTATTTTTATAGCCCACAGGAAACAACTTCAAGCCTCGTTTTAGGCTGCTTTCATCCTATTTTCAGGCTTGAGACACAAGATTCCATTAACTTCTATACCATCAGCATCTTTTCCAATATTAAATAAGAAAATCTGAAAGTTACTCATATGACAGAACTACTCTGAGCCAAGACTTCAGGGACTGGCTTTAGTTCAAGCCTTAAAGAGACATCTTAAGAAAAAAAGAGGAAACTAAAAGGCTTGAAATAAAGTTGAAGTAATTCAGCTTTGCCTTTGGGTAACACTTATGGACAGGTTCACTGTAAGAATC